TAAATGATAGCCGAACTAAAATTAAATGTGATCAAAACAACTCACTGGTTAATTAAAATTCAAATGAGTTTGGATCATTACAACTAGACCTTCTAGAATGTCAGTCTTACAACCAATTTTTCTATAGTGAGAAAATATATCTTAGGATTATGGATTATTAACTTAATTTTTACTTCAATTGGAATTATTTTCACATATCTAATTGGATGCTGAATATAGTAAACAACACTATTGTATGTATATTTGTAGTTTCTCATTCCTTTTTGTACACCCATGATAGGTTTGACGATTGCTTCGTCACGTCACATAAACTAGCGCTTTGCTCTGTGAATAAGTACAGCTGATAAGTTATTCTGAAGGTTAGCTAATTCATTCTGGAACTGTTGCTCTATTTCCCCCTTATTAATCATCCCCCCTCCCCGTGTATAATTCACCCCAAATTCTCCCTCATTCCAATTTTCACATGCTTTTTTTATTTAGAATGGGGTGAGAAGCACTGTCCTGGATACAATATAATAGCATCAAGTCAAATTTGACCTCAGTTAGACTTGCTGTAGTATTGTGGCAGTGGCTATTTACCACTGGCGTGGTAAGCGTGGTAAATAGTCAGAAGTACCCCTACAGCTATTTACCACGGCGTGGTAACTTGTTAAATTAGGCCAATGTCACCATGTTAGTCTATGGAGACAAAACGTGGTAACTAAATTTTACTACGTTTTTTTTTATTTGGTGGATTTCATCCAATTTTTTTTGACACTTTTTAGGTTTCAAAAATATAAATATTGTGAACATTTCACATTGTTAACACTAAAATAAGCATTTTAATATCTCTAGCGAAGAAAAATATCCGCCATATTTAATATCGGTGACTATGGTTTTCGGGCATTTTGGACGGTAAATTTCACAGTCTAAAAAATTCTGCAATCGCTATGTGATGTGAACCATAAGGAATGCGTGTTTAAAATCAAACTTCGGTATTGCGTGCATTTCCAGCTGTCTATTAGTCTGCAATTCGTTTATATATACATTTTAAAGCTATGCTTTTGACAGACTTTTATTGAATTTTTAATTTCCAAGCTATAATACTGTATATTCCTGGTTCCCAGGCTATTGTAGGAGGAGAATTATAGAGTTTCAGGATTTCCGGTGCCCTTCAACACGACGAACCCAAGCGAACCTCGACACTCTAGTCATCAAAATTAAAGATAGAAATAGACTCAATGCTGCTGATGATATGCGTAGGATTTGTAGTCAAGGTCAGTAATAATACAGATATTGATAGTGTTTGACTGTCGTTTGTAGTAGAGGTCAGTAATGGTACAGATATTGATAGTGTTAAACTGTAGTATGTAGTCAAGGTCAGTAATAATTCAGGTATTGACTGTGTTTAACTGTAGTATGTAGTCAAGGTCAGTAATGATACAGATATTGATAGTGTTTGACTGTAGTATGTAGTCAAGGTCAGTAATGATACAGATATTGATAGTGTTTGACTGTAGTATGTAGTAGAGATCAGTAATGGTACAGATATTGATAGTGTTTGATTGTAGTATGTAGTAGAGATCAGTAATGGTACAGATATTGATAGTGCTTGACTGTAGTATGTAGTGGAGGTCAGTAATAAAACAGATATTGATAGTGTTTATAGTGGAGGTCGGTAATGATGCAGATATTGATGGTGTTTAACTGCATTATGTAGTCACTGTCAGTAATACTTCAGGTATTGACTGTGTTTGATATATACTGGATTAAGAGATAAAAGGTATGGAAGGTAGAAACGGAAAACGTTTTGAAGATACAGAGACACTGGTAAGGGATTTTCTAGTCAGAGAAATGGGTATTGATATGAATGGTGCACCTGAAATAGAAGTAGCCCATAGATTTGGTACTGAAAGAGTTTTAGCCATTGGCCGCGTTCTTCCAAGACCAATAAAGAATCCATAAAAATGAAAGCCCCTTCTTGTCTAAGAGGCAAACCTTACGGGGTTAATGAACAATTCCCACCTGATATTGAAATCGACGCAAGGAGCTTTATAAAGTTCGGAAAATGGCGATGTCACTAATTATGATATGCTACTTTTATCGGAAACATGGTTATGTGAAGATGAGTGTTTATCTATTGACGGTTTATTTGATTGTGTATTTGTAAATAGACCAAGCAGTCTAAATCGTCTAACAAACTTTACGGTGGTCTAGCTGTCTTTTTAAAACCCCAAGTACAAAAATTCGTTGAAATTTGTGAATCAGACAATAGAGGCATGATCGTTATTAAACTTTGTAAAACTATACTTCATTCAAATGAAGATTTGTATATTATTTTTGTGTACATTCTTCCCGAAAGGTCTTCTGTTTATAATATATTGGACATTAGTTATTTTGACGAATTAGAAAGGTTATACTATATATTTAGTGTTAAAGGTAAAAATATTATAACCGGTGATCTCAATGCAAGAATCGGTAAAGAGCTCGACTATATACCAAACGATAATCTTCATGAATATCTGGAATGTCTTGATGATTTTGATATAAATTCATTAGATTTTCGGCAAAGGCTCTCTGAAGACTCAAAAACAAATTCGTTTGGAAGTCTTTTGCTTAGTTTATGTAAATCAACCAGTTGTATTGTTGCTAATGGTAGATTATATAACGATAGCAGTAATGGTAGATTTTCTTTTTGTAATCATAGAGGACAATCTGTTATTGATTATTTGGTTTTACCTGCATTATTTATTAATATAATTAATAATTTTGAAATATTACAATTTATTGAATTTTCTGATCACGCCCCTCTCTATTTCGATTCAAAGGCCATCACATGA